GGAGGGAGGGGGGGAGAAAGAGGGAGAGAGAGAGAGAGAAACATCAATGTGAGAGAGACACATTGGTTCCCTCCCGCACACACCCCGACCTGGGCTGGGGATCAAGCCTGCAATCGAGGTATGTGCCCTTAGCCAGAACCAAAGCCAGAACCCTTCAGTCCACAGCCTGACGCTCTAACCACTGAGAAACCAGCTAGGGCAAGGAAACCTGTTTTAAATAACTTTGTTTAACCCAGTGTTTTCTAAATATAATTAACCACAAAAGCCATCCCCCTTTCCTCCCCCACAAAATCGATTTACATCCTGTAGAATTATTATCCTAAGTAACACACTTTGGAAAACACTGGCCTCTAGGATGAAATCTAAATGACTTAATAGAGTCTTATTTTGTGAGTGAATGCTGAGTCTATGCTGAGCACATAATACAAATTGTCCTGCTAATCCTACCTTTGAGGAAAACATTATCTTAAAATCTATTTTACATCTGCGAAAAGTAAAGCTCAAAAAGATTAATGACATTCCCAAGGTCATAGAGCTTGAGAGTTACAAAGCCAGGACTTAAATTGAGGTCTACAGCACAAACCATGATCTTTGTGACGATGCTATGCCAAGATCCAGGAAGAATGGTTTGAACCCCATATCATGAAGGCACTGGGAGCCCTTGAGAGTTCTTGAGCAGGAGAGCAACAGGGCGAACAAATGTGGGAGGCTTAGGGAGGTAGGGGACTATAGTAGAGAGGGTTTGTCTTTGACTGAGCACCTGCCCATGCCCCCATGCCATGGCTGCAGAAGTACTCACTGGACCACTTGGTAGTAACGCTGGAGAAAGACGGACCAGCCCTCAGGGCTGAGGGACAGCGGGGCCTTCAAGTCCCGGTCAATGTCCTGGTGGGCCAAGCTGCTAAGGTGCTCCTCACAGGCACACAGAGCCTCGTCCACAAACTCTGAGGATACCATCAGTGGCTTTTTCTCCTGTTTCTTGGGCTGCTTGTCTCCTGCAGAGGAGGGGCCTGTAACTATCTCACAGGCAATCTGACACATGCCATGGCACTCATGGCTCCAAGTTGTCACTTACCTGAGAACTCATCCTAAATACACCTGAGGCCCAGCGCATACCTATATCTCTTACTGCCCTGGGCCTGTCACTTACCTGAGGTTTTATTCTAAATTCACCTGAGACCTTAGTGCTCATCCTTGGCCCCCACTGTCTCAGTACCTGTCACTCACTTGAGGGTCCACCCTAACTGTCCTCAGGGCCTTTCAGCACCTATAGCCCCAAACACACCTGCAGCCTTTCTGCTCCTGGGACCTCTGACACACCTGTGGCCCTTGTGCCCCTGATCCTGGCATATAACAGTCTTCTTTGTACCTGACACACCCAGAGAACAGCAATAGGGAGGTCCCCTCTGGAAGAGACAGGGATTTCCCACCTCCCAATGAGCTGCCCCTTATGTCCCTGAATACCAGACTGATAGGTTCTGGGTTATAGTACTGGGGCTTTGAGATAGGAGCTAAGTCCAGAGAGGGAAAGGGCAAGCAATGGGCTGGGCCAACATGGAATGTGACATTCTCTGTGTTTTCCTCCACAAGGCACAAGGGGTTCTCAGACCACATGAAACTACACGGTTTCACTGCTCCCTCCTCCACAGAGACCTGAGCTCCCCCCAGACAGGACTTAGTCTGTCCTCTTAGTCTGCCCTCCCTAGAGAGCTTGGCCACATGCCAGGCCCATGGGAGGCCTGCATAAGGCAGTGGATCAATTAACAAACAGGAAGATAGGTAGACAGGTGGTTGGGACAGAAGAACGAATGAGTGGTGGACAGGACAACAGACAGGTGGTGGTTAGGAAGATGGAAAAGCGGGTGGGTAGGCGGGCATATGGGCCTGTGGAAGCATAGGTAGGAAGGTGGAGGTGTGGACAGATGGATAGGAAATGTCCTGCTGAGAAGACAGGTGAGTGAGTGCAGGGGTAGGTGGAGAGAGAGATGGATGAATAGATGCGTGGGCAGGCGAATGTGAAATCGGTGGGTGTGTGGGTGAGTAGGTAGGTAAATGGGTAGATGAGTAGATGGATGGAAGGACAGATGGATGGGCAGGTGTAAGGATGAGATGGTGGGAAGGGGTGGTGGGTGGGCAGATGGATGTGGATAATACATAGATAAATGTGCAGGTGGGTAGACACGTGGAAGGATAAGCGGGTAGGGAGTGGAGGGAACCACACAGTACTCACCTGGGGCCTCTTTCTCTTCTGCCTGCACTGAATATGACTTCCATTCGGGCTTTACCACCAGCTTGAGAACGCTGCGGGCGGCTGTCAACCAGAAGTCCTCTGCTCCCAGGGCAGGGGATACTCTGCTCAGTCCCTAGGCTCCTGACCTGTTCTGGTTCCGGAACCTGATCATGACCTGCCCCACTTTGGATCCAGAACCTGACTACCTTCTGACTCTAGAACCTGGGTTAGAACCTGGCTTTGATTTCAACTGTAGAACCAGATCCAGAGTCTGACCTGACTTGGCTCATAGTCTGCCTTCTGTATCTCACCTAGACCCACTGTCTGATTTTTCTCTTCAGTCCCTAATAGACTTTTGATACTTATTCTAGCCTGAGAACAAAACTTTGGCCAAAAACCTATTTCAGATTTGGAGACTAATTTAAATCTGGCATCTACTCTGAACCCAAATTCTGACCTGAATTTAGAACATGTTCTGGAGTTGGAAACTATTCTGCCTTGGAAGTCCAAAGCCTGGAGCCTTTTCTAGATTAGGAACCCAATCTACCTGTTCTGGATTCCAAACTCAGCCCACTGACCAACTTCTAGAACCTGCTCTAGAATATAAGCTAAGCTACCTAAGATCTTCTGGTGGTCTGTAATGACCAAGCTAGGAGGCTCATGAAGAGGAGACACATTAGGAGAAAATAAGGATTAGGGATGGAGAAGGAATTCTGTTGGGATGGAGAGAATGAGGAGAGAAGCCCTTTGCTCCCCAACGTGAGTGAGGGCTTTAGCCTTCATCCTTCAGCCGGAAGGGTCCAGGCGCAGGTCTGGGCAGCTCCTTACCTATGAAGGCCTTTTTGTCGTCCTCAGCTCCAAGGTGGTAGCAGCGTGGGAAGAATGAGTCAGCATCGGCTTCATCAAACCAGGGCAAATTCCGGAGATTGAGACACAGACCCACCTATGGAGTTAGCTGCTGAGGGGGCAGGGTGGGACTTGCCCAGAGAACCTTCCAGGAGATCCCCACTCTCAGCACAAGCTCAGGCAGCTCAGGGAGACTGCGTGGACATTCTTAGAGCCTCTTGCACACTTGCTAGGCTTGACTCGCTCATATCCATCTCTGTATGTTTGCCCACGAAGCCCCTCTGCTAAGAACACCCCACATCCCTCCTACCCACCCTCTCACATTCTTAAAGACCTGCTTCCTCTGGGAATCCTTCCCAGTCCACGCCAAAAGATACACTAGCAGGTCCCAATGATAAGGATTTCATTCTTGCCACAATCCCAGAAGAGAGTTTTACTGGTGTTCTTATTTAAAGGTAAGGAAAATAGGGCTCAGAGAGGTGAAGTCCCTGTTAATAAACCCAGGTAAGATCAAATGGATCCATCGGCCAGATAGCCTCTGCTTAGGAGGTAAAGACCCTCTTGCATAGTCATTGGACTTGGTGTTTATTCTGGCTCCAGATCCCATTTGGATCCTCTATTTTAATGAGTGTCTACACATTTCAACCCCAGACGTGCTGCAGGGGTTGGATTTGAACCCAGGACTGTCCGACTCTAAATCCCACTGAATTATATACCAAAACTGTCCTGAGAACTCTCTCTTACTAACAAGGAGAGCAGGGAACTGGGTTGCTGGTCCAAGGGCCGAGAGGTTGGAAGCTACAATGACCACTCCCCTGGGGAGCCCACCTTTGTGGTAAAGGAGCCAGCCCGGGCATAGTGGTTTATCATTTGTTCCTTGGAGAGGAAGCGACAGTCCAGCACATCCCTCCGAGTGGTCCAGATGAAGTAGGGGATCTCATTCCGAACCATGCGGGACTGGGGAGAGGAAACAGGGCAGGCTGGTGTGGGCAGCACAAGGCTGGAGGAGGCTTCTTCCTGCCCTGCTGAGCAGAGTGAATGGAAAAAGGATACTTCCGAGGTGGCCTCTAGCCCACACATTATCTTTGTGTAAAATAAAAAAGGACAGTTCTTCCTCCAGGGCACACACTTGATAAGCAGGGAGCGGGTGGGCTTGCAGCCTCCTGTGGCCAAGTGCCCCAAGGCAGTGACTAAGCCATACAGCTGAAAATACCTTGTTCTGGCCTATGACCATCAATGACTTGCTCAGCGGCAGGACAGTAACTCTAAGCTGATGGGCACATAGCTTGTGACAAAGGCTCTACATCTCCCTCTCTTTCCCACATCTCTGGGAGGTAAGATTATTAGTAAGCAATACCACCACATGCTAGACCATGCTCTCATTGCTTTCCATGTCAACTCATTTTATTCTCACCACACCCCTATGAGGCAGATGCTAATGTTATCCCCATTTCACAAGTGAGGAAACTGAGGTACAGGGAAGGTAAGTGACTTGTCTAAGAGCTGACAAGGTTGAGCCATATGAAATTGCCAATACTCAACCTTTCCTGACATACAAAAATGGCAATTTGGTATAGTTCAATTTCGTAAGTCATGGCGGAAAGACTCAAAGCCAAGTGTCCTCACCTCAACACACATACGCTCTACACCATCGTATCAGCCTCTTTCAGAGCTTTTTAAGCCCTTCCTTCCAGCCTTTGCTTGCCAAGGGCAGAGGAAGGAGATGAACTATGTGGTTTTTATTTAGAAGGGGGGATTCCTAGGCATGGAGCTTGTGCCAGCTTTTGATACAAGCTAGCTGAGTTCTGATCCCGGGCCAGCCTTGTCTGAACACCACTGTGTCCCTCACCATTCTGCTGGCCCATCCAGGCTTTAGAGAAGCAATTAGTTTTACTGCAGATGGGGAAATTGAGGCTCAGAGAAGGAAAGGACTTGTCCGGAGTCATCCAGCTGGACTTTAGTGCTCTCCCTGCCAGCCCCTTGGGCCCTCACCATCAGAGCATGTGTTCCATCTAGGTCATCAAATTCCAATACATCATCGTTGAACAGTTGCGGTGGCTGGAACGCCTCGTCCTCATCTTGACCCTCTGCAAATGCAGAGCCCAGGCCTGGTGAGCTCCCTGTCCCTGCCCCAGAGGCCCATGCCAAAGTCTCAGCCCTGGGGCAGTGGAAACCAAAGGAAAGGGACTCAAGAGAGGCAGCTTGTGGAAATGAAGGGAACTGCTCACCATCCTCAGTAGTGTCGCTATCACCCATTACTGAGCTATCCAGGTGCTTCTGGGGCGGCAGCAGGGTGGTGCCCGAGGAATGGACCATCTTCTTCTCCACCCAGCCCCTCTGGCGCAAGAGGCACCGGATTACCGGGTAGTGGCCTTGGATCATAAAGATCTTCTTCTGCTGTAAGTGAGAGAATGATACTTGTTCAGTAAGTACCACCCAAGTGCCAGACATAGGGGATGGTGAACCAGACAGTTAGGGGCTCTGCCTTCAGGAAATTGATTTCAGAGAGAGGAAGGGAGAAAGAGAGAGAGAAACATCAATGATGAGAGACTCATTGATTGGCTGCTTCCTGCACGCCCCCGACTGGGGATGGAGCCCACAACCTGGGCATGTGCTCTGACCGGGAATCGAACCTCAATCTCCTGGATCCTAGGTCGATGCTCAACAGCTGAGCCACGCCCGGTGGGGAAATAACATGTTTTTAAACAGATGCTATTATCCCCATTTAACTGGTTATGAAATAGAGGCATAGAAAGGTTGAGTAGTTTGGCCACATAGTGGTTAAGTCAAAAAGCAGGGATTTAAATCCAGGCTGGCTGGCTCCAAAAATGGATACTTAATGGAGATCCAGAGAAACTAGAAGTACACACACAGTCAGAGAAAGTGGAGAAGGAGCCATGAATTGACAGAGCTGGGCAAACGGAAAAGGGAAAAGCATGTGAAAAGGTGTTGAGTCTGGAGAGAGGTCTGAAGGAATTGGAAGGAGGCGAGGGTGAGGGTGGAAATGAGGGGAGAGCTCCTGAGGAGGTAGGTCATAGCTAGACTTTGGAAGGCCCTGCAGGCCTTGGAAAGAGTCTTGAATTTCATATCAACAGCAGTGTAAAGCACTAAAGGTGGAGTGAGGGAGTGCCATGACTGGAGGCTTTATAAGTTTGGCTTGCTGCTGTCTGGGGACTAGATGGAAGAGACATGGATGGAAGTAGGGAGGCCAATTAGAAGGCTACTGTGGTTTGTGCAGGAGGGAAATCATGACAGCTAGTATGAGGGTGGCTACAATGGAGAAGAGGAGAAGGTAATATAGTTGGGACTTACTCTGGAAATAGAGATGACTGGTTTTGCTGATGGGAGTAAATGTGTGGGTGAGTGAACAGAAATATCAGATTTCTGGCTTGAGCAACTAGGAGATAGGGAAGACCAGAGACTAGTGATGACTGGTTTAGTCAGGAAAGTCAAGAGTATGGTTTGGGACATGGAAATGATTGTAAATTCTCTGGATAAAGATGTCAAGTAGGCGGCTGGACCTGCCAAATGTACAGTTAGAGCACAGGCGGGGCAGGAAAGGGCATGTAGGGGGCAGAGCACACTGTCTGGACTCAAAGCCAAGGAGACAGGTGTAGGGAGGGATCCAGGGAACCACTAAAGTCTCAGGCACCTTCAAAGACAACCAAAAAGCAGCAGTCAGGGAGGGAGAAAGGAAAACAAGGGGTGTCCGGCCGGGCGTGGCTCAGTGGTTAAGCGTCAACCTAGGATTCAGGCGATCGGGGTTCGATTCCCGGTCAGGGCACATGCCCGGGTTGCGGGCTCGATCAATGACTCCCTCATCATTGATGTTTCTATCTCTCTCTCTCCCTCTCCTTTCCTCTCTGAAATCAATAAAGATATATTTAAAAAAAAAAAAAAAAAGGAAAACAAGGGGTGAGCAGACAGCCAAGAGGAAAGGGTGTGTGGGGCAGCGGTGCAGAATGACACAGGGTGACCAACCAAGATTAGGACAGAAAAGGGGCTGCTCCTGGGAGGTCCCCAGTGACCTTGACTAGAGGGTTCCCCAAAGGAAGTGGGGAAGGGTACAGAAGCAGAGTGGTGGGAGCTGAGAAGTGAATCCCAAGTAAGTAGACAAGTCTGCTAAGTGAAGGGGTATCAAAAATAGGGAGGTCTCTCAGTAAGGGGCATGCAGGAGGCAGCTAATCAATGGCTCTCTCTCATCATTGATGTTTCTCTCTCTCTCTCTTCCTCTCTCTGAAATTAATAGACAAACAAACAAACATTGCCCTAGTTGGTTTGACTCAGTGGTTAGAGTGTCAACCTGCAGACTGAAGAGTCCCAGGCTTGATCCCAGCCAAGGGCACGCACCTCGGTTGCAGGTTCGATCCCTGGCCCTGGTTGGGGCTCATGGAAGAGGCAACCAGTTGTGTGTGTGTGTGTGTGTGTGTCCCCCTCTCTCCCTTCCACTCTCTCTGAAAAGCAATGGAAAAATATCCTTGGGTGAGGATTTAAAAAAAAATAGGTATTTGAAGATGGGTGTGGGATCAAGGGGGTTTTGTTTGTTTTTTAAGGGTGGAATAAATTACTCCAGGGAAGCAGGTTGAGCCACTCTAGAACCCGCCCCCTCCTCCCCCAAACCCCTCTGACCTTGACAGCTCTCTCCACATGGATCTTGGCGTTTCTGAGCCGGCCCATGTGATGAGACGCCTTGGACAATCCTGGCCAGAGGACCAGGGAACCTGCGGAAAGATTGAGTAGTAGGGGCTCCGCCTAGCGTTTCTCCTGGTCCCAACGCCCACGCTTCTTCTCTTTCCCTACCCTTCATCCGGATGTCTACTGCTCTTCTCCCGACCCCCAGTCACTCCACCCCAAGTCTTCTCGTCCTCGCCACTACCGCATTGGGCCAGGATGGGCCAATCACAAAGGGCCTCACCGTCCAGCAGCGGGGCATCGTCAAGGGCCGGGGTGTGCCGGGACCCGAGGTGGCGCAGATCCCTGGCGCCCTGGGCGTGCGTGTAGAGCGATAGCGACTCCAAGGCCCGGCAAAGGCGGCGCGCTGAGGCCTGGCTGCCGCCCAGGCTCTGGCCGTCTGCACGAGCCCCGAAGGGCCGGGCGGAGGCGGGCCCGGGCCATGGCAGCGTCTCTGGAGGCCGATACTCCGAGCGGCGTGCCCAGGACCATGGGACAGGGTAACTGGTGCGTGGTTCGAGCGGCTGCGGCTTCCGCGGCCAGGTGCATACCCGGCCGCCCTCCTGGCCGTACCAGGTGCCGGAGCACCGCTGTGTGACCCTCAGCTCCCCCGCACTCAAGATCAGCGCCGCGCGGGGGCCCTGCATGCGCCCCCCGCCGCACGCCCGTCCCTGTGCCGCGCACGGCTACCTCTCGCAGGGTGCGCGAGATGGGCCCTCGGTTCTGAGGCTCCGCCCTCTGTTTATTGTCGCCTTGGAAACCATTCCTAGCCAGTCAGGCCGCGGTTGGTTCCGAGGCTCTCCATCAGGCAAACCCTGAGTTTCACCTGCCCCAGACCCTTAATGAGCAGAGCACTGATGGTAGAAGCGCACAGCAACAGGTTGCCAGTTACTATCAGTGCCATGGTTCCTCACGGAGCACTTCCTAGGCCTTCAGTCATTCCAGTGTTTATAGAGGGCCACTGCTAGGCAATGGGCTAGGTGGTCCCTGACCTCATGGAGTTTACAGCCCAGTGGAAAGGAACCAAAAAGTAAGCAACAAAGGTATAAAACAGCTTTAAGTATGGTAAAGGCATACTTTACCATACTTTGCACCTGCAAGGCCTGGCAGATGGGACTAGGAGCATTTGAACGACAGTATATGCAGGAAACAATGATCACTCACAGGACACACTTCTCCCTACCCCATTCAATAATTTGTAAATACAGAAACAGATCGTTTGAGTCAACTGCAGAAAAAAATGTAATTGAAGTTATGCACAGCCCTCAAGACAAGACTAAGCAAGCTTTTTGGAGGTAGTGGCATAGCGGTATCCTCAAGAGTCACAGGTGAGATAAATAAGGCTCAAAGATGTTAAATAATTTGCCTCATCACACAGCAGAGCCAGTACTGGATCTCAGGTCTGACTCCAACGCCCCACTCTTAAACATAAACACTGTTAAACATAAGTCCATGTTATTGCTCTAAGGGTTGTCTACTGGTCATGGAAATATGGGCAGTTTGAGAGGCACACTGTAGCAGTGACCAGGGACGAGTATCCTGGCCCAAAAAGCCAGCTTTGTGTTGTCACTGGCTAGATCTGCCCATTCAGTGAAGATGGGTCCTCCACCTAGCTGGCCAGCCGACCCCAACCACTCAGATCACCCTCCCCAAAGCCCCATTGGCTGGTGGCTGGGCTTCCCAAAAGGAATGCCCCCAGGAAGCCAGCTGATTGGAAACCATCCAGTGTGTTCTCATCAGGGAACAAAGTTGGTTTTAGGAACTCCAGATATGGGGAGATGGATCCATGACAAGTTTGGCTGGCTCACCCAGGCAATGCCATCCTGTGAGGGCTGAGTGAGCACCTCAACTGAGTGAGGGACATCAACTTCACCGTGAGCACCTTTAACATTCACTGCAAAGCTAGAACAGCCATGTGCCCCAGAGGAGGGCACCCTTTGTTCTGCAAGGCAGGAGGGAGAGGTCACAGAGGTAAGTCACAAAGGGGATGATAGCAGTTCAAGTTGCCTCCAGCCTCAGCCCCTCCTCCCTTTAACATCACCTTGTCAACTTCAAGAGACCCTTTGGCATTCTGGAAGAAACTTTTGAAAGCTCAGGCATCAAATATATGCCCTGTGGGCCCCCAGGCTTACATTAGTGAATATGAAACACTTCAGCACACCTATTTACACACCTTGCTTTTGCCAGTCCCCCAAATCTCACCAACATAGGGATAATGTCATCTCTTGTGTCTAGCATGATGCAAGTTACCAGCTTGGATAGCGGGCTGGTGGAAAATCAGCTATTATTTAGTACCTGTATAGTACTAAGATTGTTTCCATTCATTATCTCCATGTTACATATAGAAACTGAGGTACAGAGTATAACTTGCTCATATTCAGCATCAAGAGTTGGGACTCAAATAGAAGTGTTTCACCAAGTCTATCACTGTCCAACAGAGCTTTCTGTGATGATNTTACTTCGAGGTTTCACCAAGTCTATCACTGTCCAACAGAGCTTTCTGTGATGATGGAAATGTTCTATACATGTACTGTCTGACACCACAGGCATTAGTCACTGGTAGCTATTGAGCACACTTGAAATGTTGCTGGTGGGAATGAGAAAGTGAATTTTAAACCTTATTTAGTTTGAATTTAAATGTAAATAGCCACACATGGCTACTAATTACTGTCCCAGCACTGGTAGAGGCAGAGTCTTAGATTTGAAGTCTACCCTCTTGCTCACCAGCTAGATTCAGGGCATGCTGCTGCACCTCATGGAACCTGTTTCCTTAACCATAAAATGGGATCATTATCTCTCCGAGTTTGGCTTTTAGCCCAAATGAGCTCATCAGGTAAAAAGGAACAAAGCTCTATATAGGTAGAGACAACAGTTTTAAAAACGGGTGTTACCTAGACTGGAATGGAAGTCTCTGGATTGGGGCCCTTGGCAGGGATGTCAGGAACCTCTGGTGGTGACCGCAGGCCCAAGTAATAGCAACATGGTCTTAGGGAAGAAAAAGCCCCACCTCCCCTTTTTTCACATATGCACACAGAGCACAGACCTCATGCAGCCCCAAAGGGGCAAGAAGAGAGTTTAATCAGGGGAGGGAGGATCCACCGGAATAAGAAAAGGTACAGCGAGCATGGGAGCAGAGGAGCCAGAGTGGGTGGGAAGGCCCCAGCCAGGAATCTGATAGGACTCACCTCTCCACCTCTAGCACAGGCACTGCACTGACAGACAAGGCGAAACAGTGGCCCCTCTCAGCTGGGAGGGCTTGAAGCGGTCCCTGTGGCCATAGGTTGCCTGGCTTTCTGGCTTCAGCTCCTAGGCATGGCTGGTGGCCACTGGTTCAGCCCTTGTCCCCAACCAGTGCTGGGTGGCCATTTTTAGGCAGAGCTCAGGAAGCTGGCCACCACTTCTACTGGGCCCAAGGAGGCTTGAGAATAAGAGGGCAAGGGAGAGGAACTGGAGTCTGAAACCTCCCTCCCTCCCCACATGGGGTGGCTTGGGGGAGGAACAGTAGTCGCCATCTGGCTCCAGGCCCGCCCAGACCCACAGCGACCAATAAGGTACAATCACTGGGACCAGTCACAGCCACAGGAGGTGGAGGTTGTTTGTTTAAAAAAAAACAAAAGACAAAAAGGTTACAGTCTCCTACAAGCACAGAGTTTAAGTTTCAAGACGTTAAAAAAAATCTGTCCCGGCCCAGGGGACTGAACATCAGAAGCCAGCCTGACCAGGCACATGTGGCCTTGGGGCAAGTCCACTGCTGCTTTGTCTCCAGCTAGCAAGCGCACCACCCCCCCTCCCTCATCTAATGCCCACCCCAACCCAGTTCCCCTCCTCTGCTTCCGCTGCTGCTCCAAGAAGTGACTCCAGGACGCCTTCGCAGAGACACAGGAGATTCTGAGGGGGAAGGCCACGAGATCCAGCCAGATGTTTAAAACTGTCAAGAGAACCAAGAGGCGGTGAATGACGGTTACTGTTGTATCCAGGTAGGCCTGCTGGGAGGGAGAGAGGAGGGGGGCTGATCGGAGAGCTGCCACTGTGCTCAGACCTCTGAGGGGCAGGATTGGGTCCCAGGACATTCCTGTAGGCATGATCTTTCTAATTCAGCAGTGATCTTCTGGCCCTAAACCTAGCACCAGACAAGGCAGAGAAATTAAAGGTGGTATGGGCTTTTCCATAGCTCCCCTTGGCCATGTCACAGAGGCTGCTATAAAGCACTGTCACAGAGACTTGCTTTGTGAAGGGAGGGTGCCTTCTTTAGAGATGCAAGGGCTTGGGGACTCAAAGGACTGAGTACTTGTGCCAAGCTCTGTGTGGTCCTCCAATCAGGACAGGCCCTTGAAATGCTTTCTCTCATCAAGTATTCCCCATGGTGCCAGTAACAGCCCTGGACATTTTACAGTCCAGAGGTTGTAGACCAATGAATGGCCCAGCCCCAAAATAAGCCCACATAGCGTTTAAAAGAATATGAATTAGTTGCAAACCTTGAAAATATGGGGGACTCTCGATACAAATCCAAACTTTGGGATTCTTTTGAAAAGCTGTAAGATGAAACTGTGTGGTGGTGATCCTCTTCAGGTGAGGCATGGGCTCACTAGGTCCCACACAACCCATTTCACTCATATACATTACCTGCCCAATCCCTGCATGCACCTGAGTGTGTGACCCTTCAGATGCTGAAGTACCATTCTAGATCTTTGAGTCTGAAACCTATCTCCGAGTCCTGGTTCTCCCACTTACTGGCTGAAGGACCTTGGGGAAGTGATTTAACTTCCAGAGCCCCAGTTTACTCATCTGTAAAATGGGGGTTAACACCTGCCTCAAAGATTATTGTTTTTTAACTTGCTGGGAGGGAGAGAGGGA